TGTCACTGTACTAGCTTTTTCCTCCTTGCTGCTTTAACTACTTCTTTGCAGGGCTATGTTTAGAGACTCCACAGGCACTATGAAGACCATGCATTGCATCTTCACTGCAGATCCAAAGTGCACAGGATGTTTTGCCCTGGGGAGAATTAGACTTTCACCCCTGGCCCAGGCCAGCACACCAGCCTTTTTTAATAAACTTGATAAGCAACCCTTCCTATGCTACCAACAACCTGATGCTACTGGAAGTGCAGCCTTTTGAATCAGATGTGAAAAACAGAGCCAGTGGCTGCCTTCAGTTGCTCAAAGTCTGATGGCATCTTTATCCTTCAACGGTTATTTGATAGCCCCTGCATGAAGCAGATTAGGCTAGTTTCAACCCAGTGATTATAACTGCTGCCTGTCACTGCTGGCTGTTTTTAGTAGGGTGCCCAAAAATTAAATGGACTGTGAAAAATCAATCTACCCTAGACAGGAATTGTGCACCCTGATTCAAAGCCTCATGGGAAACTTTCCCTAAACTGCACTGCACCTGTTTGAGGATTCAGAACTTCATCTGCTACAATCATCACCAGCAGCAAATTCACAAGAAAAAAAGTTAAGAATGAAAAAAGATCAATCCAGAAGTTCTGTTCATCATTCCCAGCTGGAAAAAGTCTCACAGGCTGCAACTCTGCTCCCTCTGAGCCATTAAGGTCTTTCCATCTCAGCTTATAGTGAACTTGCCTCTAAAAATGTTTGAATACAATTAAACTCCAAGTAGGCGGGAGCTGAATCACATGGTCTTCCCTTTTCTCCAGGACTTTTTCAGACTTCACACAGATTTACAGGGGCCTTCAGAAAATCTCAGTGCTAAATAATGCAACAAGCTGAAAGATTTATGAAACTCTGTACATTTCCATCTGTAGTCAGGGAGATCATAGGTGCTGGGCACAGTACATGCAAGGCAGGTAATCACTCCAGAGAAATTTTTTTTCCAGCGATGGAAAAGGGTCTTGGGCAGTCTACAGATGGTGTCCTCTTATTTTATCCAAGCATCCTCCTTTTGGATCATGCTGTTGGGATGATCTCTCAAATGGTCAAATGCCAAGGCTGCATAATTTACCGTATTTCAAAATGATGGCCAAGTTATTAGCTGTATTACTAGTAGTAGCATTTAGGCTTCAGCTGGGAGTGATGGCCCACTGCAGCAGGTGCTGTACATACTCATAGTAAAAGACCCATAACAAAGTTTACAACAGAAAGATAGATAAACTGCACATTTTCAAGTGCTAACAGATCCATGGGTATTTAACATTCACTCCAAGCATCTCTGGTATTTCAGTTCAATACTGTAAATGCCAGGGTGTGACATTATGATGGAGCTTTATCTCTATTTCCAGAGTTCACTTTTCTTGATCTCTTTGTATACAGGAAGGTCAAAAACGGAGAAAGCGAGGAGGGAAGAGTATTGATCAAAGTGCATCTGAACCGTGTGTAACTTATCAGTCATCAAACAGTACGAAGGAAGTTGAAGAACATGAGCCGAACCCAAGCACAGGCAGAAATTTTACATCATGCAGTAAGTATGAACTACAAGATTCAGCTAAGCAGATTTACCTTCTGATTTGCAAGCTTTAAGACATTCAAGAGACTTTTTCCTGAGACTAACCTTTGCAATTATGGTTAGATGCATTTTAAAGTGTGGGTCCATGCTGTAACTTGCTACAGTTCATGCAGAAACAGAACATGCAACTACCGAGTGGTCCGAATGAGTAGCTATTCATCTCTAGCGAGATACTACACTGAAGTGAAAGAGTCTTGTTAGCAGTTGTCCATTTGACTTAGGCACTCCAAGGAGCCTTATTGCTCTTAGTTCCTCTACACCCAGTAGACAACTTTAACAATCTGTTCCCTTCAACAGCCTCACTCTTGCATACACATCTTTAATGCACGTAAGGTGTAACTGTCCATTGCCCCACACAGTGAACAGTCAATTATATCAGCAGAGTTCTGCCTGACATGTTTTAAACCTGTGCCTTACTGTCCAGCCCATATGCCTGGAATCACCTCCATGAATGAGGGGTCCAGTTCAACCCTAAGCCCTGTTTGGTGCTGGCTGACAATGCACAGGAACCTGGCACCAACTGAAGTATGTGCAATTCACCTGTGCGTACTCCCCAACAGGAAAGGTTGGGACCAACATATTCCTTTAACATGGGTCACCAAACCTTCAGATAGTAGTGCCTGCATGTTACCATTAATATGGGATAGGCTGGAGCTGGTGATGTAGAGGTAAGGGTCTACATAGCCTATTGCTGAGGCACTAAACTGTATAGACCCCTTGCTCCTGTGGAACATTAGCAAGCAACATATCTCCAGCTCTGCATGATTTTATTTTTATACTTGGTCTAACACCCACTCAGGACAATTTTAATTATTTATAGAAGGTTTATTTAGCACTTGTCACAATGATAAGATGATTCTCTCTTTGGCTTAGTGTGACGTTAGACATGCTGAAGCAGAAAGAGAAAGCTTTTCAGATTTTAACATAATCAAACGTATTTTTGGGGAAGATCCCCTTCAACCTTGGAGTCCATAGAAAGCCACCAACTAATACACCAGCTCTCTCAGCCCTACAACCTGCCCTTTCCAGTCTCAATGAATGATGAGCAATCCAGCAGGTTAATTACATAAATGTTCTGTGCCCAGTTCTTGGTGGTGGGACAAGGAAAGAGGTAGTCTCTTCTGGGTCTGAGCTTTACACAGCCAAAACCAGGAGTCATTCTGGACCAGGTTCAGGTTCACATGAATGATGAAACTCTGCCTCTTTTTCATTCTAGGCTTGAAATTCAATACAGTTAGCACTGCACAAAGGCAGTAAAAGCACAGCCACTTCCAGCTGCAAGGTTATCACCTCCAACTGGGTTTACCACAGGTGATTCAGCTAGAATGCAATTCTCCTTCTCCAAAGCACAAGTCCCTGCCATGGAAGCTAGAAGGGAATCTTAATTACATGTTAGCAGTATGGGGTCCATGACACACAGCTGAACAATACTAACCCTTTTCACAGAGAGCAGTAGCGCTCTCTTGCACAAATAGCCAAGGCACTACACTCTCACACTAATTTCATCCAGCTAGATAAATACAAGAACACATCTTAAAGCCACTTTCTGTTTGAGTGAGGCAGTTGTTTAGTCATTGTATTGGGCTGACAGCATCACAACTGTACTGAAAACACATTGTTATCAGTAATAATGAGACAGCTGTTCCTCGTCCAGTGTGCATCTTAAGCAGCTGTACTGCCAGGCAGCAAAGGTGGTTAAGGAAGAGTATTCATTCTAATTAAGAAAAGTTCTCTGTCATTCAATGTAATAAAAGCAGGCTACATGTAGAAGCACCATGCATCAGGCAACTGTATAAATAGGTAGGCTTGGCAGTCTGGAATGGGAAGAAAATGATTTGGCCCTCAAGACACTTCAGTTTCTTTCTTTCTTTCTTTTTTATTTTTTTTTTTGCAAAAACCTATGCAGCAGTACACTGGGAAAACAGCAAGATTTTGCTGGTGACTTCATTTTGCTAAACCCAAAGGAATACACTGCCAGTTAAATAAACAGGGGCACATGCCCTATGCTGGAAAAGTTCAAGAGACTGATTCTCTCCTTGTCCACACCAAGACAAAAAAACTCAGCAGAAGTCAATGCATTGGCATGGGGTATGATGCCCCTAGAAGTAAGCAAAGAGCATCTGCAGAAATGAGATGATGTGGAAAGACACTAAAGAGTTCCTTTGAGTGCTTTGCTTCCAAATTTTAGCCCCCAAAATGGTAAGCTTCCAAATGCATATGTACTGAAGAAACCTCTTAGGTGAACCCTGATCCTCTGATCACCCTGATCATATGTATGCTCAGTAAAGATTTCAGTGGTGAGGGGAACAGTGGAATACATGGAGCCCGGGTGGCCACCCCCTTCTCATATAATGTCTGCTAGGTCAACTGTATGACATTCTAAACCTAAGACTATCGATAAGACTGGTTTCCAGTATTCATTGAGAAGATCATTTTGGGGTCATGAAGCCTAAGCTTTCACATTATTGGAGGAGCCCCAGAGGAGTCCTTGGCATCATCTGATCCATGCTGACTTCATCCACACCTTGACTCTACCAATGGTGTTTCACACAGTAAATCTGTTAGAGAGAACAGGCTGGGTGAAAACTCCAGGCCTATGGGATAAAGGAATATCAACCAGGTCAGAACTATCCCTCTAGCTTTCAGAGCTACAAACTCTATACCTGGCTTTTCAAAGACATAGTAATTGTACAGGATTTGCTGGTCTAAAGTAATTAAGTACCAGTGTAAACTACCCAGCAGGTACACAGAATATAATAGTTCTAAAAGTAATTGTGCCAAGTAACCAGAACTGTAATAATCCTGTGTTTATTCTGTGGCAACTGGATATCTAGGAAATTATAATGGCCATACAGGGGTGGATCCAGGAGGGTGTGGTAGTGTGGTCACACCAGTTCACAGCTAAGAGCTCTGGTCTCGGATGCGTTATACAATTGCAGTGAGCCCCCCACCATCATCACACCCCATTTTTTGTCATCCTGGTTCCACTACTGTGGCCATACAGGCCATGTCTAGACTGAAAACTTCCCACATCCATGCCATACTGCTCTGCATGCACTACCCCCCATAAAGAAGTAGTGAAATCATGTCCATGCAACACTAAGGGTGGACTAATTATCCCTGCCAATTAGCCCATGCTCAAGTATTCAGCACCAGCTGCTTTAGATAGCAGACAGCAATGCGATACTCCACCTCCAATCAGGTCTTTAATTTCTGAAAATTAGGGAACAGCTTAAACCTTGTAAGCAGGTGGTTAAATATCCCTTCTGAATTATTTTATCATTGATAATTATGACACTGCTAGAAATTCACACTATCCACATAAATGTCCAATCCCCTTTTTTAAACAGTGCTAAGTTCTTGACCTTGAGTACTTCCTGAGGCCATGAGTTCCACAGGCAATCTACATGCTACCGGAAAAAATATGTTTTGTATTAGTTCTGAATTTGTCATTTTTGAGAGTGTTTCGGTTCCCCCAGCTCTGATCATCAGATACGTTATCCCACTGGAAGGTGGTGCTGCAGCTCTATTTAGAACAGCCCTAACATGTCAGATGGGTGAAGAAAAGTCTTTGATGCAACAAAAAAATATATGCAACCTGAACTGGCGAGTCAACACAACTTCTCCCCCATCGGCTCCAAAATATATCATTTCATGCTGTCTATAAACATTCACTTGGATTGTCAGAAAAGACAACACAAGGCACTTGGCGCTTTACGACCTCAAAATACTGTGCAAATACTGACTTATTAAAATCTCACACTGGTGAGGTAAGTAAGTAGGTAACTACACCCCATGTTACACATCAGAAGATAAAGCACAGAAGAGGGAGAGTTTCACTCTTTATTACCAAGTGGCTTCTAAATTTGAATGCCCACCTTTAGACCTAAAGTACCTAAAATTTCAACTTGAAGCCATTTGAAGCTGTAGGGGGTTGGTGAAGGTATCTTGTTAGTCGCCCAAAATTAGAGTTGCATCTCTACTGGCAGCTCTGGAGAAAGAACTTTGCAGCCCCCAGCTTCAAATTGTGTGCTCAGTCCACTAAACTCTGCTGCTTCTGGGGTCTCTTACAGTGAAGGAAGCACCATCACTCAGCATTTTAAAAACCAGACTAGACAAAATACTGGAAAAAGCATGGTGGAGGCTTACACTGGCTGCATAGGAAGTGGCTGTACTGGGTGAGCTAGTGGCCTCATTTTTATGATTGGATGAAAACTAAAGCATTACATGATCTGTGATGCTAGAAATCAAGAATGCCCTGGGCCAGATTCTGTCACCTTTACTCACACTGAGTAGTACTTTCCCCATGAGCAGCTCCTGGGAAGAGCAGGAAAGCCTAAGGGCACGTCACTCAGGTTTACCTAGATTAGTTTAATATAGTCTGCGCCAGACCAACCATCCCCAATAGTTAAAAACTTGTTTGTGCCCTAATGCAGAAGGGTTTAACTCTCCCAGGATTATTAGCTGTTATTTAAAATTCCCTCACTATTACTCCTGTGGAAATTCCTGAAATCAATGGGATGTGACATGGGATAAGGGGAATACTCAGTTTGAATAATGGTGAAAGTAGCTGGTCCTTTATTTGTTAAACCTTAGGGTCCCTCATATAGACTGGATATACACATACAGAGAAAGGTGAGTTTAAATCAGTGGGTGTTCATCCAATAATTGTTAATTGTTCTGTCACAGCACCTAAAGGGCCTGACATTATTTCCTTGTATCACTTGCTATTCATGCAGACTGCAAAGCCCATCAAAAATGTCCCAGTGTCATTTTTGAAAGGTAAGTGGTAGGAAGGAGGGAAAAAATACAAAAGAAAGAGAAGCACCCGAGACACCAGGCTTAGTGCTTAAACGGTTTCTCACCTGGAATAACAGAGATAGTTTTCAAAGCTCGGAGAACTCTGAAAGTTCTCAATGCTGAGACATTCCCAAGGTCCACAAACTCTGTGACATATCTGCAATGAGGGAGGTCACACACAAGAAACACAATGACAATACACACACCAAGAAAACAACAACTACAGACAAAGCAATACATCACTCACAGGGGCCTGACCCAACAGCTAACATCAACCGGAGGCTGCCTTACCTGGAATTACAGAAATAGTTTTCAAAGCTCTCAGAACCCTGAAAGTGCGCAGAGCTGAAACATTGCCTAGGTTTACAAACTCTGTTATATACCTGCAGAATTAAACCAGAGTTAATGGTACCATTGGGGTCACCTTCCTTTTAATATAGTTGTTTGTAGGAAACAGCTTGTAATTTAAAAGGCTTCAGAAATTGCATTAAAAAGAGAGAACTAGACAGACAGACAAAGCCAAAACATAGTTTTAAAGCATTTCAACACTACAGGCTAGTTTGCCCAGTTGCGTGTTTTGCTATTTGTGCTCTCTCCTATTTGAAATCTAACATTTTGTTACTATTGGACCCAAGGAAAGCATTTAAGAAGGATTTTGCCAAGGAAACCAGGCAGTCTGGAGAGAGCACCTCCTCGATTCAATTCCATCAGCTATATTTGCTCCACTTTCTTCCCTGCTTTTAACAAAATGTCATCATCCCTTGCAGTTATTAAAACCTTTCTTCCACAAACTTTTTGGATGTTAATTCCATAGCCCTTCCCACCTCTTCATAAGCCACAAGTAATACAATCATACAGCAACCTTTATGGGTCAGGAAGGAAAAAACTTTTACAAGACACCAAAAATCTAGATTTCATCTCCAGTTTAAATAACAAATTAAAATATCATCATGCCATAAGGCAGCTGGGCTTCTTGTTACTTATCAAACCTGGTAGGCAAACTGATTCAAGCAAAGGAGGAAAATATGAGCTGGGAGAAAATAACGTAATGTGCAGTAGGCTTCATTTTTGTCACCCTCTGCACCTCTTTACTCACCCATGAGTACTCAACATGCAGGCTGAGAAAATCTTAGTATGTAAACCAAGGTTCCAGAAGAAGTGACCAACAGAGTATTTAGAAAAATTCCTAGATCCTAGCCCTGTGCTCTGTTCACTTGAACATACCACCACTCTTGCACAGGAAGACAAAACCCTCCCTCTGCAGAGGTGGGTATTCAGAAAGTTGTTAATTGCGTAAAATTTGTCCAACTTGGAGTAGTTCATCAGCAGGTGCAGCTCTGCTGACTTCAGTGGAGTTGTATTTAACTCTGTGTCTGTGTCAGCACTGCATGTATCAAGTGAAAATTAGGAGCCAGAATCTGGATTTTGACTTTTTTGTGGGTCTTTTAAGATTTGATTGGCTTTAACCTCCTTTCCCCCATCCCTGAAGAGTCAGCTCTCCCACACATTTCATTCATACCCCGAGTCTAACTGGAATAACTTGAAAATTCAACTTACGCCATCATGATGACACTGAAATCTAACCAGTTCCATGGATCACGCAGGAAAGTAAAACCATCTATGCAGAAACCTCTTGCAATAATTTTCACAAGCGATTCGAATGTATAAATACCAGTGAACGTGTACCTGTTAAGGAGGATGAAAAAAAGAACTCTGTTACAAATAATAAGAAGCAAAAATTTCAATCAAAAAGGAAAATTAAGGTTAAGATATATAAAATTTATGAGCCAAGGGGATACTAATGCCCAATCCCACTGATGTAGAAAGGAGCAGAAGTGGGACTACCAAATAATGACAAAAAAAAATTCTGGAAGAACTTAAAAATGGGGGAAAGCAGAAAACACTTTAGAGAAAGCTACAATCCCCTTACACTCCCCCCACCCACAAAAAAAGAATTAAATTAAAAACACCCAGTACTTACTCCACATTCTTCGACCATTCAGGTGGGTTACTAAAAGTCATGAATACACAGTTGGTCAAAATAGTGCACATAATGATCATGCTAAATACTGTAAGGGCGAAGTCAAGGAAGAAATGGACACTCTTGTTTGGCTATTTTAGTCAGTGTCAAAACATTTCCCTAAAACACACTGCAGTACAAAGATACATACAAGGTTTGGGATGCATCCAGCAATCACAGGAGACAAAGAAAGAGAAACAGATTTTTTTCACAATTTTCCCCATTCACTTGATTTACATGGGCTCCACTGGGCTCTCTTGTCATGTGGGTGCTCTCAGCCTTATAGCTTTCACATTCATTTACAGTCCTACAATGCACTCCCATTCTGCTTAGGTAGCACTGGTACATTACACCCACTCTGTAGCGTGAACAGCTGATCAAGGCACTCAGCGACAGAGAATGAGACCTAACTCTCCAAAAGGTACTGAAAGACAAAGGCCCAGACAGGGAGTTCAACATGTTCACATACATTAATGTTCACGGTAAGTGACTATTTAGAATGGGTATATGCAGCGCCCTGGCAGCAAATAGAGAAGCAGGTATAAATGCATGAAAGCATTCACACATACCCATTCATATACAGCCACCACACAGGGAAAATGAAAAATATTGTCCTTCACCTCTCCCTAAGGTTAGAGGCTTTTTGCTGCTAAGTACTAAATGTGAAGGCTATAAAATTATATTGTAAGCAGAGAAATTCAGGTACATGAATAAAATATAGAATCTCTACCTCATATTTCATAACATTTTACAATCATCTTTTAAATGAAATGTTTCCCCAGACAATTCCATCTACATTCAGGAATCTCGAGACATGATTTGCTGGTAAATGAAGTAACAGAGCAGCACTGCATTACATCATTTGTAATGGAGAAACCTAGCTGGATTTCACTATGGGGAATCTTTAATATCATGAGACATGAGGTACAGTTGATAGCATGTGTGTAAATACAAAGTAAATCCTACCGTGTCAGAGCTAGCATGTTAGAAACCCAATATTCATCTCTGGTTTCTGATTATGTACACCCTGCTGAACACGTAAACACAGTCACCTTGCACTAGCTGTTAAGTGAGTGACAAACTGTCCAAACTTGTGTGCTTGGAAGTCCCCCACTATGTTTGCTCACTGCTGCAGGTACAAACATGTGCACAAGCAAAAAGTGAACACATCTAAAAAGCATTACTCAAAAAACAAAACAAGCTTTTCTCAAAGGCAGCACAGGGCTTTCTTACTTTTCTGCTACAAGAAATGAGGAAAAAAAATCTCTTTGGCTCTTAAAATTGAAGATCATTCAGAAGACCGTGACTGCTTCATTTTAGTCCAATTCTGCCCGTTTGTAATCAGCAGAAGTCTTTCCACATACTTCAGTGTGCTTTGGCTTACGTCCAAGTTCCAACCACAGAATTTTCACCTCAACCTGTCCAGATACACACCCATCAATGAAACATCCCTTGCAGCTGGGTTTACCAGACAAAAGACGAGCCAAAAGGAATCCAGTTACATACCCAGACCTCAACCTAAGTTAGAAGTACTTGTAGATTCATAGATTAAGGATCGGAAGGGACCTAGTAGATCTTCTAGCCCGACCCCCCGCCAGGGCGGGAGAACAACAAAAAAAACCCAAAAAGAGAAACAGGACTCAAATGAGTCCAGCCAGGTAGGCATCCAGCCTCTTCTTAAAGACCCCCAGGGTAGGGGCCAGCACCACTTCCCTTGGAAGTTGGTTCCAGCTCCTAGCCGCCCTAACTGTGAAGTAGTTCTTGCGGATGTCCAATCTATACCTCCTCTCCATCAACTTGTGCCCATT